TCCGCCCGCCCGCGTTCCTCCTCCCCGCCTGCCGCCATTATGCCAGGTTAGTACGCTCCTCTCCCAGCGGGACTGAAGGAGGGCAAGGGACGGCGGGCCGCACCAAGTCTTGGCTGCAGGGGGCGCCGAGAGCAGGGCTCCGCCGGGCAGTTGGGACGCTCCGAAGTCCTTACGTTGGAGCCGAGGCGGGCTGTTTGCTTGCCGATTCCGGGGCTTTTTGTGTACAGTACTTGCAGTGGGGTGGGTTTGGCGTCGCTTGGAGTGCGGTCCGATTCTGCCCTTTCGCTCTCGCTCAGTTTAATGGGGCTTAGTCCTATAGGGTGCGTAGGGCAGCAAAGGTGCATTGGGCATCCTTTTTGCCCTTGCACGTGTTTTCGTGGAAGCAAGTTGAGGAGGGACTTATCCCCTCGGGAAGTGCGAACGTTTGCAGCCGTGCAAGGCAGGAATCCTGTGCATGCCCCGCTGCTTTCAGTGAGCGCTCCTCCCCAAGTGCCTCCCCTTCTGTGTTTTGGACTGAGCAGCCTTGTCCTCGGCATGTTTGTTCGACACTGAGTCAGCCAGTCCGCGTGTGTGAGTCATCAGCACTGGAAATCGAGTCTACGACGTGCAGTGTAATATTTTTGGTAAATACTGCTGGGAGGGACTTTGTATATGTAGATACTAATTGCTTCGGCATCGCAAGAAAATGATCTTGCCCTAAGAAGCTCTAAAAGCATGTCTTTCGCTCTCGACCTTTACTCGATTTGTATTAGCGCCCTTCCTAAGGATCAACGTCAGTATATGTTTGTCTTTATATCTGACTAATAGTTGTGCATAACTGAAGTTGCTGTAAAGTTTAGTTTATTCAAATTTTAGTTTGAATAAACTAAAACAAAATTTGAATAAACTAAACTTTACAGCAACTTCAGAAAAGAAGTTGCATCCTCTTCTGATTCCCCCCCCCCGCGTTCTGTGAGGGGAACTGAAGGAAGCCTTCGATTTGCTAATACAGTACTGTATCTGCTTAGATCCTGCTGTGGCTAAGCTGAAAGTGATGGCCCTCCCATCTGTTTTCGTTCAGATCCTGCAGTTACTCATGCCGGAACTGAACCAGAACAGAGTCGTCCTACCCTTTTACCAAAGGAAACAGTAGCCCTTCTCCAGGGTTAAAAATGAAGGACTGGCTGGTTCGCAATTACACATACATCATGTGGTCACTGGGAAAAGTAGTGAACTAGCCCATTCCCAAAGCAGAACAAATCCCCATCTTTTTGCACACTTAGATCCCTCATCTCTAGTAAACACATATTTCCCTTCTCTTAGTATCTGCATCCATAGTGTAGTGGTGTTGGAACAAAAAGTACAGTACTGGGAGACGTATGTGACGTCATCTAACTTATAGCGACCTAATAGAGCTTTCAATGTAAGTGAGATATTTAAGAAGGGGTTTAACAGTGCCATACCATGACTTTCCTTATCCACGTGGCAACTCAGACCCGTGTCTCCTGAGTCCTAGTCTGTCACTCTGTCCACTATACCACACTGAGGTGATGGCGATGTGTTGTCCAGCCAGAATATTAACTCTGCCATCATCTCTCATTAGTTTCTTTTACTCCCTATTACACTTGTCACTAGATATCGTGCCTTCTCACCTGTGGCCCCACCCTTAAGGAATGGACTCCTAGTAGAAGCACATCAGTCCTCCTCCCTCCCATCCTTTAAGAGCATGTTGAAGATTGTCTTGTTCTGAAGGGCATTCAAGGACTTGCTCAGTCACAAAACTCAGTCCCATCTCTGAAATGCTAAATGATCTCAGCTTCTAATGATGGGTGGGCTGTAGCTAGTTTGATAGCAACAGGCTGGAGAGGTTAGTGACAACATCATCTATCCAGCTGCCTGCAAATCTAGGCAGAGCAAGGCAAGCAGAGATGTTGAGATGCAGGTATTTACTTTTCTTCAGCCCTTCATCTGGTAGACTTTGTGCCCTGACTATTCTACACTGGTGTTATGAGAGCTACTGCAACATAGATCCTTCTTTTTGTAGGCATCCTTCACTCTCGAGAGACTATGGTAAGATGCTCTGAATAGGGGTCTTGGAGTAGTGTCTGGTGTGGCTGAGAATGCCAATTCGAGAGTGACCATCCCTTCCACACTGAAGACAAATACAATCTGTCCCCTGTCCAGTTCCCTGATTTCGCTGCTTTCGGGACTGCCTCTTTGCCTTGGCCTGCTGGAGAAGTGTCTTCAAATTGGGAGAGGCCATGCTGCACCGCCTGCCTCCAGGCTGAACACTCAGATGTCAAGATTTCCCATCTGTTGAGGTCCATTCCTAAGGCCTTCAGATCCCGCTTGCAGATGTCCTTGTATCGAAGCTGTGGTCTCCCTCTGGGGTGCTTTCCCTTCACTAATTCTCCATACAGGAGATATTTTGGAATCCAACCGTCAGTCATTCTCTTGACATGCTCAAGCCAACGTAGATCCTTCTAGTGCTACTGGAATATGTGCAAGGAGACTGCATTGCAGCTCCTGATTATGCCAGCATTGCTCTTCCTCCAGAACAAGGTCAGTGATGTCCCAACTAGAAGAAAATTGATGGTGACTTCTTTGTTTACTCTAGGAGGGGGCAAATAACTACATGTTACTGAGAGGACTGCTTCTCCCAGCATTCCTCATCACTGACTTCCTTGGTTCTGAATGAGGCATGTGGCAGTGCAGGAATATCTGAGCCACAGGTTGTCCACCCTCTGCTTTAAGGTCCATTTGAAAGTCTGGTTTCAAACTTCTTAAAGTCTACTGATTTTGAAGCCTAGAGGTGGAATGTTTGAGTCATTTTGGAATCTGAAGACTAAAATTAAGTCTTAACCAGACCTGTTATTTAGCTCCTTATGGGCAAGCAGCTTACTTTTGGTTGTGAGTCATCCTTGGATTCATGGTTGATGGAGACAAGCAAATCAGTAATTGTGGGATGGGGAGAATCTTGTTCTTCAGAGTTAGCCTGAAGAACCATCTAGCAATCTTGAGAGTTAGCCCTGAAAGATCGCTGGATGGTGCATGCATGAAATTCTAAATGATGTTTGCCTAATCTTCAATATCTGCCCTAAGCAATACTGACAGAGCAACCTAGTTAATTTAATGGCCTATATCTGAATTACTTTTCCAAAAATAGCGGAGGTACTGTATTTGAGTTGCTGATGCACGGACAGGCAGATGCTTCAAATGGGAACATTTATTTTAACACTCCAGTGAATATTATAACGAAAGTTAAGGAAGCACAAGGCAACAAATTATAGTATCAGCATCAGGTGCTTTTAAATGTTCTCCGGAAGACAGAGTTTGGAAAAGTTACTTTTTTGGATAACAACTCACCAGCATGGCTACCAAGCCATGCTGGTGAGAGGATTCAAAGTATGTGCTGAAAATGAGCATTCTCAGCCCTAGCTAAAGAACAGGTTCTTTCCTGTGTGGAAATGGATGCCGCTACTCATTTATAGCCTTTATTTTTAACCACTGGTTTTCGGAGCTGCTCTTTCTTGAGTGAAATCCTAGGTGATTCATGTGGCTGGTTTCCTGACCTGCAGCCTTTCACTTAGAGGCCATCACTTCAATTCCAAATCTTTAGAGACGAAAACTTATCAGCATTTGCCAGCTGTTTCTTGACGTGAAGCAATCCTCCGGTCTTGCACTGTATCTCTGAGGAGAGATGTCTGTCATTAAAGCAGGGCAAAGGCCTCTGATTAGGAAGGCCAAAGGAGTCAATGTAGGTTGGCCAGAAATTGTTCCCTGGGGTGTATACGCTGCATGCTTAGTTTGCTTGTTGGATAGCAGAGTGTCAGATGGGAATAGTTATTTCCTCCCTAATACCTGAAGGAAGTTACTGGTGATGCAGTGAAAGGACCCCTGACTTCAAACTGCATGCCACGGTGACTAGTTCTGCAAGCTATGATAACTTCATGTAATGGCTTCAAGGGGGTTGATGGGGTTACAGCAGCCCTCCCCAACCTCACATGGGTTGCGAATGATGGGGATTGGAGTCTGGAGGATGCTAGGTCAGGAAGGTATCAGAAGCTAGAATTGTTTCTGTTCTGGCTCTCTTCCTTTGCCCAGGCACTACCTGGGTATTGCACATATCTGTTACAATAATTGCTTTTCAGCCCAGCAGGCTGCCCTCAAGTGGTGCACCATAAAATATACTAAACACATTATTTCAAGACCTGTTCCACACAACTGCCACAACTGAGTTGCTGCTGCAGCAAAAGCCCTAGCTTGTATATTCGTTAAGAGAAAATGAATTATTTAGGTTAGCAGAATGCAACAGGCAAGGAAAAGTAACTTATTTTATTCATTCATTCATTCATTCATTCATTCATTCATTCATTCATTCATTCTATTTATATCCCGCCTATCTGGTCGTTATGGCCACAATAACTTGTCTAAATGATAAGGAATTTGTTGCTGGTACTTAATGCTCTAGGAAATCTAAACAGGAGAACCAAAGGATGTAACAAAGCAGATCTAGACTTGAGTAGAGAAGTCCTTAGAGATAGCTTGCAGATGTAAAGGTGTGCTGATGGTTATCATAGAGGTGGAGTCTCATGACTTGCTATCTATCACAAGCAAAAGGGGGCAATCTAAGCGTGGTTACTTAAAGAAAGCAGAAGAGAGGTCAAGATGCCCAATCTCACCTGACTCTCTCTCTCTCTCCCCCCCTTTCTCTCCTCCCCCTACTGGTTATGTAGGTACAATTGTGCTACTTTTGTTCAACAGCCCTTCTGGGTATGAGGACTTTGTTGAAGATCTCAGATTCTGACCAAGCCTGTTCAAGGGATGGCAGGGTTACAAATAATGTTGGCCCCCAGTGGTCTCAGAACTTTGTCGGTCAACCCCAGCACCTGGAATTTGAAACACATTAGAAGCCCAATGTTAATGGCTAATCCAAAGAGTAAGATTGTCAGATCATTCCATTCTAGTTTCTAAGGCGAAGTAGCTTCACATTGCTTCTTGGCTTGGGGGCCTCTGTGTCTTATTTCATGAAAATAAGGGCTGCATATTGCTGGATCAGACCACATGTCAGTTTAAGCCAGGCAGCACTCTTTCTCCAGTGGTGGTCGGTTGGATGCTCAGAGAAGTCTACCAGCCTTGTCCCCAGCGTCTACTGTTTAGTGATCATAAAGACTGTGAGGAAATATGTATATATGCCTCTTGCACAATTGTGTGTGCCATCAAGGGTCAGAAATGATGCAAAACAAAGAAAAGGGGGGGAAAAGACCCTTTCCTCTCAAATCAATATCTGCAGAAAAGCCTGATCTGAATGGCTTTCTAACTTATTTCTTTTATGTAATGATGCTGGTATAATGATACAAGCTTATGCTTTTCTGCCAGCAGCAATCAAATTCATAATTATGCCTGCAGAGTCTACAACAAACTATGGATTTGTTTGATCCTTTCTAAGAATTGAATGAGTGAAGTGGGTGGGGAAGGAGCACTTAAACCATCTGCAGTTATCATAATGACCCGGTCATTCAGCAAGAATTGTTAGTATTATAATTGCCTGCTTAGTGGGGAGAATAATGTTCTGTCATTTTGTGAATTGCGGGAAGGCCAAAGTGATGAACCTTTTGCTTTGTTAGCTTTACTTGTTGTGCAGAACACTAAAATACTTGCTTTATAGTTTTCCATACTGCCCAATTGCTTGGCAGCCTAATCTGTGGGGATGCAATTCCTTTTTGGATAAGTGTTCCATTAACCATTCTTCTTCCTTTATTTGTATAAGAGCATTGCACAGTGTAAAAGTATGGATGTATATGAAATACGGGTAAAATTAAAAACAAATGAAAATGATAATTAGACTGTTTTTGATCAGAAGTGGGCTACTTCAATAGTGATATCTCAGCTTTTTGTTAAATCTTCTTTTGTACACATGATGGGGCATAAGTTGCATACACATAAGTGCTGCATTGGTTGAATTTCTCCACAGTCACAGAAAATTTGTCCTGTATCCAAGTAGCCCTATTTTACTTTAGTGTTCTTTGTCCTTCCTGCTTCACTTCAAAGTCTAAACTTCCAAATGGTCCAGCTAGAATCTTTTCCAGGTGGGAGGCACTCTTCAGCATTCGTCCATTTGGCAAAGTGTGTTGTTTTTCCTCTCCATAGGCTTAGCCTAGCCTCTTCTGGTTTCATATTTAGAGCTTGAGATGTGTGCAGAAAACCTTTCCTCGATTTTAGCTGTCATCTAGGGGGTTAGTGCTCATGAAGTGGATACGCTTGGTGCTGCATGACTGTATTTATTAAGCCACCTTCTTAAGGAAACAGCTTTGTCCCTGGGCTACTCCATAGCAGGATATGCTAGTCCCATATGGTACAAATCAGTACATGCCAAACTGGATGCAGCTCTTAATGAATCATACAAGCTTATTACTGGCTGCCTGAAACCTACCACATCAAATAAAGTCAATTATTTGGCTGGCATTGCTCCTCCAGAAGTACGTTGAGAAGTGCTAGCAAATAATGAATGAAATAATTTATTGTATTCTCGAAGGCTTTCACGGCTTGGATCCGATGGTTGTAGGTTTCTCGGATTGTTTGGCCATGTCCTGTAGGTTTTTCTTCCTAACGTTTCACCAGTCTCTGTGGCCAGTATCTTCAGATGGCAGGAGTTAGAACTCTGTCTGTGTTTTGGTGTTGTGTGTGGGATAGTTGACTATTTGTAGCTGTGGGATCAGTTTTTTTGTCCTTTTCAGAGATTTGGTGATTATGATGATCAGGGTGTTTTTTGTTATGGGTCTATTGTAGTCATAAGGGGAAGAGATGATCTGTCACTGTGATTGATGAATGTCGTTAACTAGTCTTTTGTGTGTAGTGATCACTGTCCTTGTGGCTGGGTAAAACTTTGTTGACCTTTTTGCAGGCTGAATTTTTCAGTGCTAGGAGCCAGGCTTTGTTGAGTTTTAGACTTTTTTTCTTTTTTGTTGAAGCTGTGCTGATGTTTGTGGATTTCAGTGGTTTCCCTGTGCAATCATAATGATTGCTGCTGTTGTCCAGTACTTCTGTGTTTTGAAATAGGATTTGATGTCCAGCTTGTTTCAGGGAGTGTTCAGCTACTGCTGATTTTTCTGGTTATTTTAGTCTGCAGTGTCTTTCATGTTCTTTGATTCTGGGTGGATGCTACATTTTGTGGTCCCAATCTATACCTGGCCACAAATGCAAAGTATCTGATATACACTGCTGCAGACCATAATGACCCAATCTCCTGAAAAGGGCAAAAAGCTGATCCCACAGCTACAAATAGTCAACTATCCCACACACAACACCAAAACACAGACAGAGTTCTAACTCCTGCCATCTGAAGATACTGGCCACAGAGACTGGTGAAACGTTAGGAAGAAAAACCTACAGGACATGGCCAAACAATCCGAGAAACCTACAACCATCGGATCCAAGCCGTGAAAGCCTTCGAGAATACAATAAATTATTTCATTCATTATTTGCTAGCACTTCTCAACGTACTTCTGGAGGAGCAATGCCAGCCAAATAATTGACTTTATTTGATGTGGTAGGTTTCAGGCAGCCAGTAATAAGCTTGTATGATTCATTAAGAGCTACATCCAGTTTGGCATGTACTGATTTGTACCATATGGGACTAGCATATCCTGCTATGGAGTAGCCCAGGGACAAAGCTGTTGTTCTTATTGTTTGTGGGTGTGCATGCCAGTCTAACCCAGCCAGTTTCTTAAGTTTGTTACTTCTGGCAGCAACTTTCTGTTTGGTGGTCAGACAGAGGTTTTGTGTATGTGTGTGTTTGTAGGTGAGGGTTTGGTCCTAAATCATTGAATACGCATTTTCCATTTTATTTTTTTTATGGGGAAAAAACTTCTGACAAAGTTACAGATATGTGATGTCGTCTTAATGGATACCAAACATAAAAATGTACATGTGAACGTATATGCCTACATAACACATTTGTATATGTATGTTTAAACAGTGCTCCATCATTGGAAGCATTCAAGAAAAATTTAGACATCCTTTAGATTGAAATTTAGACATCCTTTAGATATCCTTTGATTTGTATTCTGGCACTGAGCAAGAGGTTGGTCTCATAACCTTATAGACCCCTTCCAACTTCATGATTCTATGATTCTATGAGCAACATATCTGTATGTGCATTTTGGTGCACTTTGCAGAGGATTGTTAACTATGCAAATGTTCCATATATAATGGTGCTCCGACTTACAAACATTTCCAATCAATAAAGGAATGGTAAAATGGTTCTGATTATAATCAGCAAAACCAGCTGGAAAAACAGTCAAGGGAAGGCATGTCTTTGCTTATTTGTGGACACACTGTGCACTAGTAAAATGCTTGGCCTCACCGAGGAGATAATTCCATATGGCAGATGCCACAACAAAGAAGGCCCTCTTTTGCATTGCAGCCAGATGGACGTCTGTTTGCTACAGTATTCGCAGGATCCTCAGAGGTGAAAGATTGGAGCAACCCACACAGAAGAAGATGGTCCCTTAGATAACCTGGTGCTAGGCTCTCATTGGTCTTGTATAATACAGTAACACCTTGAACTTGACTTGATAACTAATTGGCAAATAGGGCAGATCTTGCAGTGTAGGAATCATATGTTTGTGGTAGGAAGGTCCACTGAGTAGTTTTGTTGTTGCATCCTGCATAATCTTGAACTTCCAAACCAACATTAAAAGCACAGTACTTGTAGATACCACACTCTCTAAGTAAACCATTTGCTCTATAAACTTTCCTGGGACTGTACATGAAACTGAATAGTGATGCATCTCTGTTCCACTAAACAGTAAGATCTGCATAGATTTCTTCCCACAGTATTTCTTTTGAAAGGAAATGTGCCCTCTGAATGTAATAAAATGGCAATGCATTGATAAACCCTTTCTCTCTTTTTCACTGCAACAGCTCTAGCCTGCTTTACATATCTATTTCGACTGTGCAGTCCAATATAAGGCTTCATTCATTTTAGCAACTAGTGATTTCAGAGTCTATTATCTACTATAGTCACTGCTTCATAAAGGAATAAAGGTAGGAATGGCTTAATAGGTAATAGGCTTTTAAAAATTATTTTGTTAATATTGACATAGGCAGAACAGTGGTCAAAGTTTTTTTAGAAAGTGGATGACCATTAGTGAAGCTGATGAAATATTTATGTCTCGCGACTAACATGGGCTGTTACACAGATCTGTCCCATTCAGATGATAACAATACAAATAGTAGAACATGGTTTAGAAATATTCCATTTGGACGTGCAGCGTTAATTGCTAATTATCTTGATTGTCACAATGGCAGTAGCAAACCCCACTTTGGGCAGAAGTAATCTGTATCCTCAGACCTCTTTCTGTGGAGTTGGGAGAGACACATTTGCATGGGAATGGGGTGACTCTGGTGAAAAATATTAAGATGGTAATTTTCAAGCTGTGTTCTGAGTGTGTAGTGCACTGCATGTTCAGAAGGGATTCATTTAAGAAAGTATTGTATTTTCTGAAAATCTGAAAATGATACATATTGTGCAAAGGTTTAGCTTATGGGAACAGCCTCTTATCCTTTGTAGTTTCTTTTCTGCTGCCATTAAACAGGGAGCATTTTTATCTCCAGATTCTTCACATTACAGTTCCTATTAATTACAACATCCTCAGTCCCTTATCGTTAACCATGCTGGCTGTAGCTTCTGGGGAATGAAGTCTGAAGATCAGGGCCACCACAAAGAGTACCCACTGACCACTCAACCACACTTTACTGGGTGTGGGTGCTTGCCAGGTGGGTTCACTGCACTAGTGATTGGGAAAGTTTCCTTTGAGACCCCTTTTTTCTCCAACACCCTGGAGCCAATGGGCTCTAGGGAGAGACAAAAACTTTCAGGTTGTTGCTTGTGGCTACAAACTAACCTTGCATAGTAGAAAATACTAGGAACCCACA